AAAAAAAAAAACAATCTTTAAAAGAAAATTTTACCTTACAAATGCAGTGATAACACGGCGAAGTGATCATTCCTTCAGTGGCGTTTGCAATATCCACAACTTTGCCTTCCTCGAAACACCGTACACCTGTAAATTCAATAAATTATTGTTCAAAAGCTTGAAGATCTGTTCAAATAGCATTTATTTTAATAAGCCTAATTTTTTTGCTTCTCCCATCAAACAGGTATTATTTGAAGAGAGTAAAAACGATTGCAAAAAAAAAAAGAAAAAAAAGTGACTTTAAACTGAGTGATAAGAATGATATGAGTGCAAAAAACCTTTGCCAACTAAATGCGCTTGGGAGAGCTGAGCGATGAAAAGCAGTGCGCCGTAGAGTAACATGCCATAATAAATTGGGCATTATCAAATCGAAGAAGTTTGTGATCCGATCTCTCTACACTTAAAATAACCTCATTATTTGTGACACCATTCGTTCATCTTCCCCTCCTGCTTCCACTTCCAACTAAAACAGCTTCTTGCACTAATTTATTGAAAGCAGAAAAAAAAAATTGCCCTCAATTTAGCATCCATTTAGCCTTCATTAATTAGCCGCTACAGTTTAGTGCTTAAGCAGCATTTGCAGCATCCTTTCGTTCATCTTTATCATATTCCAAAAATTTGAAGAAAGTATGAATGAAATTTTTGTCATCATAACAGTACCATTTTCAATCAATGTTTTCTTGTACCAAAAACTGATAAAATATAAAATTAATAATTGAAAACAATTTGTTTCAGTAATACTGAACAGTGTTTAACCATGAGACCATCAAAATGCATATTTTGTTTCCCGTTATTTTTTAAACTGTTTCAATTGCTTCCATTTATTTTTTGTAATTAATGTCTGTAACTAAACAACAATAGCAGCAATAAAAAAAAAAAAAATTTAAAAACAAAAAATTAAAAATAAAATTTACTTTTGTTTTTGTTTTTTTTTTTTTACATTTTCTCCAACTTAGAACAGTGTATGACTAAAGCCAAATCTACTTGTACATTTTTGTTTCAGTAACACGTTGACTGTTGGTAAAAGCTTCCATTTGATTGTTCCAATAAACTGTAACAGGCAAACTTGGTTTGACAATCATTGATAAAAAGGCTAAAGCTTTGTTAACCAATTAAACTTTTAAGTACCAATTTAAAACACGGTAAAATTTATTAAAAAAATTAATTCATTATACATTCAATTATTTAAATAATGTTTATATTATCACAGTTATATAAGGGCTTTTACAACAATACAACAAGTAAATTGCACTATTAGACCAAATGTTTACAAATTATTTAACGTACTGTTGCAGCTTGGAAAGTTTCTGAAATATTACGCTCAGTGCCTTCAGCCAACGTTTTCATTAATTTCTGTTTCCTCTTCGCTGATTTCCTCCATTACGGGTGCCAGCATTTGGGATTCTTCGTAGAATAACGCTCGAAGTTCATTGGTATCCAACTCTTTGTTTTCATCGATCATTTTCGCTTTACACAATATCCATTTTAGACGTTCAGATGTCAACTGCAAAAATAATCTTACACTAATTTACACAATATTTTTGGTTATAGAGTAATAACAGTACAAGTGTAACGTCTTTTAATCAGGTAACAACTGTTTATTTCTAAATTTTACTACCAAATAAGTTATAAAAGACAGTTTAATGTAAATAAATTAATAGAAAAAACTTTTAATGCTTTATCAGTACAAGTGATCAGTAATCTGTCAGTTTCATAATCTGCATCGTTTTGTAGCAAGTCAAGGTAATTTAAATTTGTTGTTCAAACTTTCAGAACTGTAACAGAATGTATTACAGAATCTTCAACATCCGACAACACTATTTGTTGCTAAAGAATAAAAAAAAAATATGCAAAGAAGATGCAAAACAGTTACAACTATTAGTTTAATTTCAGAAGCAATTAAAAAATAAACCTGTCGATATGTGTTAACAATTTGGCCGTCAACAAATATTTTTTTGTCATCCAACGATAACTGACGAGCCAACAGATTCAGACAGGGCTGAAGTGACGCTTTAGCATCGTCCATTTCTTTTTCAACTGCCGTTATGCGTTGAACGCACAGAATTATCTAAAGTTACAGTATTTATTTTACGGTAAACTGTCAGTGCAGTATTATATACGTTGATCTGTAAGAATAAGGTACCCGTTCTTGTAAATACAATGCATTTCAACTTAATTATCTTGTCAAGACTTAATTTTACATCTAT